AAACACCAGTTGAAATCTATGCTTTTAATGAATTTAGAAACTCGTGCTGTTAGTTTTGAAGATATTGCTCGTCAATTGCTTACATCTGATATGAAACGTGAACCAGACTATTGGGTTGATCAAATAGGTAAATCGTATTCCGTTTTTAAAATTATTAACAGCAATTGCGTTTTCTTCTACTTACTTTATCCATACTCGATCATTAGTACTGATGCTAGTCTAAAGCTCAGTATCAATCACCTTCAGATCACAAGGTTATGATATCTGTCTCTTTTACAATCAACAACTTTGTGTAAATATGATTATTTTTCGTTGAAAACATCCTTAAAAGTCATCAGAAGTTAGGTTCTTGAATAGCCTTTTCATTTTACATGTTTGCGCCCAATTCTTTCCGTCCCGAACTTTAAAAAACATCATGTAATAGGACCGTGAGTTCACCTACGAGAGTTGGGAAACCCTGATTCCAAACCAATGATGCACATGGCCTCCAGTATCGTGAGGGAGCAAATGAAGTATGAACCAATTGTTGGTCACCGGCTACTATGGGACTGCATCTCCTCACGATACTGCACTGCCTTGTGGGTTAGAGCTTTAGGTCAAAGGCTCGGGGTGTGAAACCTGGCCTCCGAGTTGAGAATGTTAGACGACTCTCCGTGTTTGATCATCGCTGTCTCCGAAGGATTGCTGACATTCAGTGGCAACACCATGTCAGTAATGCAGAGGTTCGGCATCGAGTGTTCGGGCACAGAGACGATAATGCAATTGGTGTGACCATCTTGATACACCGACTTCGGTGGCTTGGACATGTTCTACGAATGCCGTCCCAGAGAATTCCACGTCGTGCATTATTTGCCGACTCTGGGACTGGTTGGGAAAAGCGGAGAGGTGGTCAGTGTATGACATGGTGTCGTGGTATGAAAGAAAGCTGCAAAGGGCTGGCTTGTGTTGGTCCTTCACGACTCCCTGGCTGGGGTCCGAGAGATGGTGCAACACAGTGACTAGGGACGTATTCAGATATGACTCAGAATAGAAGCCAATGGCGACCCTGCTGCAACCTTCTTTTACTTTCTTCATAAAAAGTGGTTGTATCTTCCTTAACTGAAAGATTTCTCCTGATTGAACCTTTCCGTTCCCCATTATTATTATTATTATTATTATTATTATTATTATTATTATTATTATTATTATTATCATTATCATTATCATTATTATTATTACACTACCTTACACTAATTTAGTCGTTTTTTCTTTTTTTTCTTTTACGCTCCTTACCTTCTATTTTTCTTTCGAGTGTGACTCCCTAAAAAAACCACCTGATTCGGTTTGGGCACCCGGGTAGTATCCTCGAATGAATAATTTATGTGGCTTCTATCTATTTGGTGCCTCCTTGTTCCAATGTTTGTGTTTAAATAAATAAATAAATAAAAAAAGCGTGGTGTAATAGTCACTTCATCACAGTTTCGTATTTTCATTCTGGACTCATTGATTCTGACTATTTGTCTTGCATTTACTTTGGTTTTCTATATGTCATCTTGAATCATGATCTAGTCTGTGTATAAGATAATGATAGTGTATCCGGTTCAATAGTAATATATACACTCGACCGCCTATCTGTCTTATTATCATACTATAGTATTATGTGCCCCCAAATGCCTTTGGTACGGCCGAGAGTGGGGTGGGTTCGCCCTGCCTCTCGAAATGCTCTCACATGGCCACGCGTATATAGCCTCTGCCAGGGAAGTCCTACTCACTGCCTTCTCGAACCACGGGTGTTGTTTATGAAAATGAGAGGACGAAAAGCGAATGTTCGGCGCTTTAACCGGATTACAAATCAATGGTGCACATGGGCTCCAGTATCCTGCGGGAACAAATGGCGTATGAACCAATTTCTTGGTCACTGGCTTCCATAGGACTGCGTCTCCTCACGATGCTCCACTGCCTTGTGGACTAGACCTTCAGGTCAAAGGCTCGGGGTGTGGCCCCCTAAGAAAACCACTTGCTTCGGTTTGGGTACCCAGGCAGTATCCCAGCCCTCACACATATCAAATGAGATTTGTGTGACGCATTTGTATTTGGTGTCTCCTTGTACCAATATCTATATGTTAAAATAAATATAGTAATATGTTGCTAAACATGAAAATAATATCCATATATCAATTATGGCTTATAACGATTTTATTCTTTATTTAATGATTCCTATTGTTGCTTATTTATTTATTCATTAATTAGATAAAGTAACAGAAAATGATCTTCATGAACTTCTTCATCGTATGATTCATCGATGCAAACCAACATTAGTCGGTTTTGGACAAGTTGACAAGTTACCATCATATGAAGATACTGTATCTCTATTCAATGATGAATCATATAAAGAGAAGAAATCTAAGACAAAATATAAAATGTCTAGTATATTTAAAGGAATTATTTAATTTCACCTTTTTTTAAAAAAAAAGTTTTTCCCCCCTACTTTCCTTTTTCTCACCATTCCTTTTCTTTTTTCACTTGTCGTGTGTGTTCTCTTATATGAGAGAATCTATGTCATTTGTATATTATTCAATATAACTGGATCATGATTAGTTGTGTAAATGATTAAGTTATTGTTTTGTCTTCTTTGGGGGTGGGTGGGTGGTTGTTGTTACTAGGCTCATTGATGAAGATTTTTGTTTTAGCTGGAAATATTAAATTTTTACGCACTAAACTTTGATTCTTTTATGTGATTTCCGGGTTTCCATAATGTACGAAACTGTTAAACCAAATCGTCAAACAGAAATATGATAGAAGACTAAATTTACAGCTTAGTCTTTTTTACAGAAATCAACGGGTATTTAATCACTGGTTACTTTAGATTTGAAGTTTCAGATATTTCTATTCATAACAGTTTAGATATGTAACCGTTCAGGTTATAGAGAACAGATAACCAAGTTAAGTTGTAGGAAGTTCTGACGGATAACGATTATTTCAAAAGTCTTTTTTTACCGTCTACAGATCTTGAGGTCGACTATAGACCGTAAACGGAAAAAAAACTTGGCTTCCCAACATTCTCGTTGGCGTGACCCCTTCCCTACTTAAGTTGGGTTAGACCGTTGGATAGTATCATTTTTTACCATGGACAGTTGTACATATCTAAGTACTAATATATGAAGAACGGAGACTTAATCAAAACTTGCCAAACATAACAGCACGTTAGAGCTCGCTTATTGATTCATTTTCAAACAATCATCGCTAGCGAATGAGCTGGGGAATCTTGAGAATATTGTTATGTAAACCTTGTATACATACTGATGTATTGTTACTTACAATTTTCCTTGAAATATATTTATGTTTTGATTTTAGAACCAGTTGGGCGGAGTAAAGTGTTTAAGTTCACTAGGTAGTAGGGAAACACTAGGGGGAATTAGCATATAGCTACATAGTTTTATGTGCCATTCTGCGTTTCATAGGGTCAAAATTCGTTCATCGCAGAATTAAAGCTATCGACTTTTATGCTACAGATAACTAAGCAAAAGTATTTACTACAGATGTAGTGCCCGCTGTCACATAAGTCGCATTAGTATGTAGAAAGATGATTAGCGCTGTAGGATTTAACGCAGATTGTGCCTTATTCTATCCAAGTTCTGACATTACTAATTACAAATACTCTTCAAATGATCTTAAACATGCTTACTTGGTATATTTACTTCTGATGATCGTCATTCTATTATTCCATGTATCTCATTCTTGTTGATACCCATTCCGTTCAACAACGTGGTCATGGTTTTAAATTCCTCAACTGTGTACACTTTAAAAATCCTAGGAAGAGATGTGCAGATGTTTTTATCCTTCAATAAGAACCGTATTTCTGAACAACAGAATAATAACCATTAAACCATCTTAGCAATATCCCATTGTAAAGTGATCTCAACTTTCAAACTAAACGGTCCAATGTGAATGGTGTTTCATAGTTACTCATGAATATGTTCTTAGTTTAAGGTAAAGCTGTCGCTTGAAACTGCTCTACCGAAACAGCTCATTCCCAATTTTACTGTCAGTAAGTAGATGTTACATTCATCCTTTGTAGATGTATTACCGAACAACTAGAGGTTCTCCAGTTAATTCGATAAAGTGAATCCTGCCATTAAAATTCATAAAAGAAGAGTAATTTCAAACTAGATCAGTCTTTTTAGATGTTCTGCTAATAAAACAAATATATAGATCAGTAAGAAGGAATTCAATCAAGCACTTCAAGAGGTCTGTATTCCCATTTCCTCAACTCTGCATATCTACAGTACTGAATAATCCTGTTCGAAACACTTCGTAGAAAAATAATAATCAAGTGGTTTAATGAAATAATCTGGAAAATTGGATGCTTTGCATACTGTCAACGAAAATGGAACGTTTGTAAACGAAAATCAGAATAGATGCTTAAGCTGTGATTAAAAAATCTCTATTTATGCATTGTTATTTCATAGATGATATGCCCAACAAGATGCTGATGAAGGGATTGTACGAAACAGTACAAAATATATCATAGATCCATGGTCATTAATATCAAAAGGACAAGCTTCACGGACGATTAAAAATAGCATGCAAGCAGTTGCCCCTTGCCCCAGTCTACTACTGATTGATGTATGTGAACCCATATACTCAGAGATTGACTAACTGTGATATACAAGTAAGGCTGAACGTATGGTTAATGAAATAACATCAAAAAAATTTATAACAAATTCTAAAAGTAATTGTACTTACGAATATGTTATTTATTTTTTATATCTTTACGAAATAATATTTACAAAATTATACTACTGATTTACTTTAATAAGTAGCAAACGACAGTTACATGTAGATTTCTGAGAGAAAAATATCGAAATTTTTTTTTTTTTCAAAAATAAAAGAAGAATAATAGGCACTTTTCAATCAGTTTTTCTTACAACAACAACAAAGACAATTAACAAGACATTTACACAATCCAAATACACAACTTAATATCCAAATCAGAATTAACACACCGACAACAACACATACAGTAATGGTGATTGGTTTCCAACTATGGTAAAAAGAAAAAAACAGGAAAAACGGTTAGAGTTAAAACGATGTGCTTATACTTTAAAAGAATATTGAATTATTGACAACTAAACATAGAATGATACTTGTACTGTCACCAAACTACACAAATGTCCTGGTACTATCGAGAGTGGGAAGAGTCAGCTCTCCCTCGAAAAATACTGTCACTTGGCCACGTGCATACAACCACTGCCTTCTCGTGGCAGGGGTGTTGTTTAAGAAATTGTAAGGACGAAAAACGAATGTCCGGTGATTCAACCGTTTTGTGGATATTAAAGATCTAACTAAGGGATATGGAAAACCTTGATTCCAAACCAATGGTCAACATAGGCTCGAGGATACTGAAGGAACAAGTGGCATATGAACCAATTATTAATCATCGGCTACCATGTAACTGTATCTCTTCATGTTGCCCCACTGCCTTGTGGACCAGACCTTTAGGTCGAAGTCTTCGAGTGTGGCTCCCTAAGAAAACCACCTGATTCGGTTTGGGCACCTGGGCAGGATCTCAGCCCTGACACAAATCGAATGAATGACATATGTGGCGCATATCCATTTGGTACATCCTTGTACCAATGTTTATGTGTCTAAATAAATAAATAAATAAAATAAATAATTCAGAGTGAATTAAACCCTTTACAGTTCTATCTAAACTATGGATCAGATTACATGGATGAATTTTTAAAGTTCATCTTATAAGAAATCTAATAAAATTTATTTTGATTGAGATCATGAACCGATTGATGTTAGACCACCATTGGAAACCTGGAAGCACTGGACAGTCGGTACTTTCTATTGTGGAACTCCTCAACAGTGCGTGTCCACGATTCCACCTCGCGGGATTCGAACCCAGGGCCTTCAGTCAATCGGTTCATGATCTCAATCAAAAACTTGACAATCTCCACAACCCCTAAACTGAAAATTTATTTTGGTATATTTTACAAATAACTGACTAGTTTCATGTAAAATATTGATTAGAACCATATAGTTTTGAATACATGATTCTGTTTTACTGTTAGTAAGGTTTATGGTATCAGTTACTATGTGAAGCCCATATAACTTATTGTAGCTTCTAGGCGGGCCAATTTATCCATTCTTCTGGAGTCATGTGTTCACATTGTTAATTATTCACTTATATCAACCTTGACTGTTTTTATATCAGCGTATATATGTGTGTACATTTCTTATCCCATTACTCATCACTTGTCTGTAACTGTTAGGTCCCGATAAGCACAATGAATGGTAATTTTTGGAATTCATTTGTGGACCAATACTGAACGTATATTTTTATCGCATAGTTGTTAAATAACTAAACTATTTATATTCATGTTCCTCTTATTATAAACTTTATTTTGACCTATGAACTACTACTATGCGATTTACCATTCTTGAATTATACCCTGTCTATTTGTCACTGCCTCCCACATTCACAGCTACATTTGATCAAATCTTGTATAAATGTTATTTTCTATTTTATGGTACAATGTGGTCTGTTTGATTGATACATAAACTAAGTACGTTTGTAATACATGATTCATATTGCAGATTCTGAGATTGGTGTTCTGGACTTAATTGGCTGGGTTAGGTGGAAAGCAGGATCAATCAGGACTCTGGGCTGCTCGTACAGGTTTTACGCGTCATTGATCGGATCGATTAATAATTGACTGCCTCTGATTGCCGGCTTTATGCCGTAACAGTAATTTATTTTTATCTGGCTATAAATATTGATTAACTCTTGATTAAATAGGAATTGGCTTACCCGCCTTCTCCACAGCGCATCATTTCACTTCATTCCTCTTTGATTGTTCGTTCAAACCAATGTGTGTACAGCATATATATATGTATTCAAGAATCCATTCTCGTTATTTGACCTATTCGATACCGTTATTCACTAACACGAGTTAAGTCAACAATCTATATATATATATATATATATATGGATAGACGACATATGTACTTCAATAATATTCATACGCGTTAATTGGCGTCATAAATATGTATAGGGGCCACTAACTAAAGTATTAATTCCTTCGATAACATCATCTAATCTCAATGGATGTCAAAATAAAAGGCCCCATAAATTGACTTGATTGTTTTATAATAAATAAATCAGATATTTCAATCAATATATAACCATTAGTAATGATTGAATAAGAAGAAGTAAGATATTAACTAACTGAATATTTCCCTTGAATTATATTGGAATCATTCTTAATTAGATTATTGTTGTCAGTATAAGAGAGTAAAGTCATTGAATGCTTTTTTTTATATAGATATACTTTTATTCACTTGAATATACAACTATTCATTTGTCTGTTACACTAAATGGTATCTATTGAGTTAATTAGCTAAATGTCATATTTCAATTAATGGTCTTTAATTGAATGTAAATATAGTTAAATAATGAACTGAATGTAACCAACTTGGTCATATGTGCTGTTATGGGTATGAGGGCGCTGATATCACTTCCCGGCTGCCCACACCGTGGAAGGGTATTTCTTGAGGAACCTGAAAAGGAAATCGGATTCCTGTTGGTCTTAACGACCTGGGAGAGTGACTTCAGAGTTCAAGGGATAACTGCTTGAGGCCGGTTGCACACGGACTTTTCGTGGGAGTTTTTTTAATGTGTTAGCTCCGTTCTTCAAAGGGCCTTACCGACAGAGATGGAAATCCGTGAGGTAAAGTGAAGTGTGACATTTTTGGGGTAGACCTTTTCTAACTCCACCCCTCCTGGTGGGAAGGCAGCATCGCTGCAGATACTGGTTGCCCTAGAGAAACATCTTACTGCTGTCACACCCCTCTACATTCGACAGTACGACTTCGCCCACAGACCTTGATTTGCTGCTTTTAGTCTTACTGTTCTCCAATCGACCTGCCTGGCATGATAGAACTTACAGGAACATATGTTCCAGCCAATATAGCTCGGTTGGGTTATCACGATAGGCAAGCCCGACCACCCCGTCAAGGTAGCAGCCTTGTTGTTTCCGGCTAACTGACTGAGATAGTGAATTAATGTTTTTTATTACTATGAAGATGACAACTGATATAAATAGTCATAGTGGTGTATAATCATTCTTTCTAATCAATTATTGAACGATCTTGTGCATTATAAAGAATCATCTATGTTTAACTGAAGAATATTTAGACAGAATGAATGTTAGACTCACTTAGTATTGTTTGCTTATGTCTTCCCATAGTTGTTTAGAACTAAAATTGTTCATTCTCTTATGGACATATGTGCATCCCGAACGGATGACCTTGATATTGTCTTAAGTCATAAGTATTATAAGCAAAGATGGATGATGGCTAGCAAACTACCAAGTGAATTTAAAATTTACCTCATTGCACAAGCAAGTGGCTATTAGGATTCAGTATCTAAGTGAATAACGCGATATCATTTGAAGTGAATAATACTGGGTTCGACTCCTGTAGTCAACATCAACTCTGAGATAAAGGTACATTTATCTGACGAGTCGCAAATAGGACGAAACATGCGTCCTGGATTCTACTGCTAACAACTAACAACTATCTTGACTCAGAATAAATGTTCCCAGTTATTTCCAAAAAAAGTATATCAGTTAAACACTATGCAACTCTGAGTTCCCTTAATCAGTTTAGTTAATGACGTCATAACTTTTAACAAGTAAAAGTCTATCATACTTAAAGAAATGGAGTATAAAGTGGATTGTTATTATTCAATGATTGACTTAAATGTGAACAAATACAATCACAAATAGTGAAGATTTCCCTTAGTGAATGGTAAATGTTTTGCTTACATAAGTATGAAATTCCAGTAGAAAAACCCATTAAATAATTTTAAGCATATCGAATTTAGATGATGATGTAAATTTGATAATTCAGAGAGTGTATACACCTACTCCATTGTGATCGATTCTGAGCCATGTCACCAAGAGTCTCCAAACCATTGGTTACGATAGTCACGCGGACCCCAACCAGGCAATTTGCATCTACCAACATGGCTCAAACCAGAAGTTAGAGACTTCAAGCACTGGTGCCATGTTTTGGTTTGGCCGCCCCTAACTTTCTTCCAACCATCTCCAACACCGGTTAGCATTGCACGTCGTGGTAATCGGTGTTCATGCATACTCAACACGTGGCCGAACCATCTCAGTCGATGAATATCCACAACCTCGTCAACTGATTTATCATCATTCTCTAATACCCTGTATCAGTCAGTCACTTTGTAGATTTAAGTTTTGTTGTCTTCGAACCTATCTATTATTGAGTTGAAATGGTCATTTACACTTCAACAATCCAAATGAAGAAAATTCTACATTATTTTGTAAACTTTCTAGAAAGTTTTAGAAAGATATTGATATTCAGTTGACCTTCTTCCATCTCTTAGATAGAGCATATAGGGGAAATTTGTGGGGCCCATTATTTTGTCGTCATTTAGATTGGATTATGTTTGTTGACGGGCCCTCCATTTTAGTGGCCTGTGGATTTGACTCCATTTAGATCGTATAAATGATTGTTATTTAAATATATATGCCGCCGATCCTCGTATATGATCATCGACTTAAATAAGTCAAACAACGAAAATGAACTTTTGAATACATACATTTTGTATATGAAACGAACGAAATAGAGAGAAGAGAAACGACGCGAAGTGGAGATGGCGGGTAAGACAACTCCTATTTAATCAAACGTTAATCAATAGTTATAGGTACACGAAAGTATGTTACACACATGTGATGAGTAATGGAATAAGAAGTGTGCGCACACCTAAGTGATTATATGAAAATAGTTAAAATTGGTAAGTGAATAATTAACAAGATCAGAATCTGACTCAAGTAGAATGATAGATTGAGCTGTCCGGAAGCCAGAATAAGGGTATATGGGCTTAACATAATAACCGACACTATAAATTGAGGTATGATTGTGGTAAGTAATTAAAATCTCCAGCATTGTATCTTTTCACAAGGATGTAACATGTTTATAAATTTCAGGATGAAGATGATTTCAAATCATCAATTAAATTGATATTTAAATGATAGATTCAAAGGTTGAGAAGATTTGTAGCTGTAAAGGATGATTTTAATGAAGTTTTGTTCTTTGAGCTGGATGGTTCGGTTGTAGGTCTTTCATTACTCACAGAAAAAACGCTCTTGTTTAACTTTTTTCGATGTGAACATCGATTTCATGCATACATTGTTAATTCGTCTTATTATCAGAAAGGGTGTTGTGGAGATCGTAGTAATTTAATAGTTGAATTCATGAGTCGATTGAAGAGTGATAAAAATATAAAGACTGAAATCACTAGACGGTCGTTTTGTCTCCAAATGGGACTTCTCAGCAGTGTGGATCCATGATCTGGGACTCGAATCCAGAACCATCGGCCTTGCACGTGAACGCTTGACCTATAGACCACTGAGCAGGTATCCAACGATGTTAATGTCTAACTTCAACCAGTCCACCATATTGCGTGATCGTCCACTGTTGTCTTCTGTGAGTTACTATCTCACAAAAGACATGTTTGAACTCCACTGGTGACAGCTTCTCACTAAAACTCAAGGAAATACAACTCGAGACCGAAGGTCCTGGGTTCGAGTCCCGCGGTTGGGGTCATTGATGCGCACTGCTAAGTCGTTTCATACTAGGAAGAAATGGCCGTCCAGTGCTTCCAGGTTTTCAATGGTGATCTAGCTTTAATTGACTCATCAATTTACCTATTAAACTTACGGTTCAGAATACAACGGAGTTCGTTTATTATCTTTTATTGGTTCAGACGATGATTTTGCCGAATAAAATTACTAACCAGTATTTGAACAGTTAAACTAACTTTGTCAACACTCTACATATATTTAAATAATGATAACGAAATTACTTCCGTAAATGTAATACCCGTCCTGTAACGCGAATGTCGTAGATTCTATCTTTTGTAGGATCCTGGATTTCGACTGTTGAAGGGTCATATACCAATACGAATCATGCATATAACGCCTTATCATTTCAAATCGTACCTTAACTAATATTAATCAATATCAGAAGAGATTTTGTCGATTTGATGGTCTAATTGTTAAGCGCCCACACGTGAGACTGATAGGTCCTGAGTTTCAAATCTCGCAAGGTGGGGTCGTGGATGCGCACAGTTGAAGAAGTCTCACAATAGGAAGAAACGGTTGTCCAGTACTTCCAGGTTTTCAATAGTGGTCTAACTTCACATGATATGGTATATGAAAATATTACTCACCGAATTTTCTTGCAACAATCATCTCGATTAAGTAAATCTTTACAACAATAACGTTCATGTAAGAATGTTTCTCCAACATCACAACTAACACCTATTAAAATCAATTAAAATTGTTCTCATTAATGCTTTCTATTAAGTTTTATATTTAAACTTCACATAGTGATTATAAATAGAAAATCATTGACAAAAACCGCTGAGAATTTGACAAATATTTCACACTAGTATTATACCATATAACCTTAAACCCATGATGATGAGAACAGTGGATCATCGATCAGAGCAATGGCGCATAAAACCCGTACGAGCAGTCTAGAGTGCTTATCGGTCCTGCTTCCTGCCTAGCACTGCCTGTTAAATCCAAAACACTAATCTCAGCCTCCGCAATATGAATCATTTATTTCAAGCATACTGGGTTTATGTTATCAATCAAACAGACCACATCGTACCATAAATTAGGAAACAACATTTGTACAAGTTTTAACCAAATGTGGTTGTGAATGTGAGAGGTAGTAATTAATAGACTAGGTATAACTCAAGAATGGTAAATCGTATAATAATAGTTTATAGGTCAAATGGAAGCTTGTAATACGAAGAGTATAGATATATATAATCTAGCTACTGAATAGTTATACATTAGGAATATACATATGATGTTTGTCTATATATAGTTCTCAAAAGTTACCATTGATAATTCTCACCGGGATATAACACCACCTCACTTTCAAACTAGTTAAACTTCATTACTGTTAGAGATGTCAGATCTCCAGCACTCACTTGGTAACTACCTTATTTTTGTAATTTCATTTTAAAAATTTGAATTTTTTGTTTTTGCACCAAAAATCGCTCCTTTTCACCTTCATGTTGTATTTCCCACATGGGAGAATTTTAAACAATATTGGTTGATTGTATCTTTTAGTATGTTATTTTGTAACGCTTCCCAAGAACAATTTTATGGTGTATATATACGTTTGATTTGTACCTGTCGTGATTGCTCGTGCTTCTGGCTGCTTTTTGAACATTAACTTCTCTCTCTAAATAGCGAGGCTTGGACACATCAGAATAGCTAGCTTATTAGTCTTTGTTCTGTTCTCAAACTAGGTAAACTCGTAATCACTTCAAACATAGCAATTAGTCACTATTTACTACTCATTTGAATATCGAGAATACCTATTAAAGTTATTCGATTGTGAACGTGTACTTTTATGAAGTTACATAGATGAATGAGACAATTTTTCAGTACTGGATGATTTTCCATGTTTGTTTAAGTAAAGTCATTCCATTGTGTTAACAGTTCTAATGATACATTTTAAATTATGTTTTGTTCATATCATTGGTAAATTTATTGGCTTCTCTAATTAGGTTGCAACTTGAATTAAATAAACCACCTTATTAACACTGTAAATCTAATCAACCAATGTTGAAGAGATATTCAACATTGTATAAATAACATATACATGTATCAAAACACTTATGTCGTTTCTTTATTCATCTAGGAAGTACACAATCACTTACATACACACACACACAAAGAGAGAGAGAGATTTTAGATTATCCAACCTAAACTTTTCAAAGATGGTTAATGGCTACTAGTGGAATCCAGGACTCTCATCCCGTCCTATTTAGGACTCATAAGCTGGATGTACCTGCATCTCAGAGTTGATATTCACTTTGGTACTCGAACACAGTACCGTTCGCTTCAAATGCCATCACGTTAACCATTCAGCTACTGACTCGTGATAGCCATCTGCTTGTGAAATAGGGTGAAGTTTAAATTCACTTTATGTTGTTTTACTTGTACTTCGAATCCCAGGGTGAACAACAACTATGGGATGCAGTTACATTCAGCTCATGAGTCCCAAATAGGACGAAACGTCTGTCCTAGATTCCATTACTAGAGACTATGAATCTTTGCTTATATTGCTTGTAAATTAGTTCAATATCGAGGTAATACGTACAGTATGCACATATGCCTATAAGAAACTCATCAATTGCAGTGCTAAAGATCATTGTGAAGATACAAGTAAAACAACACCAAGTGAATTCAAACTTCACCCCATTGCACAAGCAAGTGGCTATCAGGACTCAGTAGCTTAATGGATGACACGATAGCGTTTGAACCGAACGACCCTGGGTTCGAGTCGCAGAGTAAACATGAACTCTGAGATGCAAGTACATCTATTTGACGAGTCCTAAATAGGACGAAACGTGCGTCAAACTAGAGTCCACTGCTAGTCGCTATCCATCTCTATTTCAATGTTCAATGTTTCATTAGTTAATAGTATGACTGCATTTAAAACAAAACTAATTAAACAATATTCAAACATGTATTGTATAAATCAAAATGATCATCTGATAATAGAAACCTTTCCCATGTGATCTCATAGAAGAGAAAAAAAAGCGAAAGAAACTATTCACAGTATTCTTCTTCTTCTTCTTCTTCTTCAACATTCTAATTATTAGTATCCATTTAAACAAACGATGAAAAGTGGTTACAGTTACACGCAAATACCAAAAAAAGAAATATCTTCATAGTTAATTGAATATTTATATTCTTTTATTTATCTAATGAATTATCTGAATGTATAGTGTTCTCTTATATGATTGAACCTATGCTTAGATGGTTTTGAAAAGGGCAAGAACAAACATTCTAGCTGAATAGCATGAATTCATTTTATTCGGTTTAGTTCTCATCAGCTGCTTACAACCTGTGATGATATTTATAAATCATAATTAGATAATGAATTTAAATGACTTAAATGAGAGGGGTTTGGTTAGAAGTTATATATTGAAGACATATTCGTATAGTATAGCAAGGGTGTAAATAAATGGAATAGACTGAATATTCTAAATAATATATACCTTATGTGATGAAAGAATATTCTACAACATTGACTGAGGTAACAGTTCGAAAAGGGGGTTAGTAACAAGTGATTACATAATGAGTAAACATGGATAGGAATATAGTGAGTAGAGTTCAGTTAAGAAATTATTAATTTGAAAGGTAGTTGAAAAATACAAATCAATAATGTAATAAGGTGCAGCGAAAGAATATTTGTCACCAAGGCAAGGAAAGATTAACAACCATCTCCTTTTGAACTCATAGGTCAGGTTTTTGACGCCTGATGGCAACGGCTTCAGCAAACTTCAGAAGATTGGCGTTTGGCTGTTTATTAATCACCCTAAAGGATTGTAAGGTATCTACCTGATGTTCTGTATCAAGGAGATGTTTGGTGATTACACTATTCAGAGTGCTTCTTTCCCTTGTTATAAGACTTTTTGGAACATGTTCAGAAAATCTAAGGTATGCTCTCCTTTCTGTTCGGCCAATATAGCTGCTTTGGCAGGTACACGTAAATTTATAAATACAGTTGTCAATAACATGAAAGGGGTGCTTGTCGACCTTTGATTGAGTTATTGAACATGTTGTTTTATCGAAAAATTAAAAGTTTAGCAGCCGAATAAGTTCTGGCAAGCGCAATATTCAGTCTCCTACTGATTATTTGTGCGAGGTTATCACCTTTAAAGTTAAGATTTATAGATACTGTCTTTTTATTGACCGTAGTTAATTCCGTCTTGTTTTCTTTGGGCTTTTTATATTTGTCAATAAACTTTTGTGGATAGAAGTTGTTTCTTAGACATTTTTCTAGGTTCATTAATTCTTCTTCAAGTTTGTCGGTGGTACATATCTTTTCTACCCTATCATATCCAGTTAATATCAAATATTCTGATGAATATAGGTTATAGAAAACTATACATTCATCGATAGTAAGGCACATAATTGAAACAGAATTGACATCAATACAGTTTTTACAACGTTATATAACAAGTCTCAAAGACGAATACTCAGGTTTGTAGAAGTCCTGGCTATTTGCAATTTTATCCCCCCTCCTTATGTGAACGCAAACAATTTATCGTAACCTTGAAGGTGAGACTATCATTTATGAATGAACCAATCAGGTATAAGATAACAGATCTCGGATTTTGGCGTGAAATTCACTCATCCAATTGGCTAAATAGAGTTTTGACATTATAGCTGATGTCAGTTCATAATGAAAACCCACAAATCTAATTCCTAACCTTAATCATCAACTGTAAATAATAATCTTAATTCCTTACACAGGTTTATAACCCTCATTTGGTGATAGTTATTTGGTGGACACTCTCAAGGTCAGTCTAGCGTCGCTCAAAGGTCGTCCACAAGCTATAGCCCCACTACCTTGAATTTACCCTGATAACCCCTGAGTCATTTTATAGCCTAAGGTAATGAGACAATTCCTTATTCTCTCCATACTATGTTAACTTTCTCTCTCATAAGATGTACCATTTTTCTTCCATTTCACTCAGCTATTCTCCATCCCTTTAAGCAGTTGATTAGAGGTCTATATCTTACACTTGTTATTAGAATATTTAGTTTCTATTGGAAAATAGTGATCATAGTAGTGAATTTCATCTTTAAGCTACTGAATGAATTGCATTTTCCTGAATGTATTCAATATTTAGGTATTTCTAACAATAACAGCATAAATACTTCTTATTATATTAAATGTACTGATCTTACTGTGACACACTGATGTTGATGATAAAACCTATCCTAGAAAGGATAATATTCACTATTATAAATTATCTGTATGGTGTATATAATTGTAACCGCAAGTATATGCCTAATTCCTTTTTATGGTTAGCGTTTTTTAAGGAATTAGTTTTCTATGGGATTGGGCCACTAACCACATGCCCAACCCTCCTCCTTTATCCGAGCTTGGGACCAGTAGTAGCCCCAGAGGGAAATCAGGCAAAGTTTTTATGCCTACTAATCAGAAGTCCCGTCCAGGTTTTGTTCTTTTTTTCATGTATGTCTCAATTCCCCTGCGTAATATTTTTTTTAGCTTCCTCTTTTTCTTCGGCCTTGAGGATTCCAAGTGAGGGCTTGCCTTGTGATGAAGTTGAATGCTTTCCACAATGTGTGTCCTATCCACTTCCAACGCTTCTTCCTGATTACTTCCTCCGCTGGAGATCTGATTTTTTCTCTCCGACAGTTGGTTGTTGCTGACAGTGTTTGGTCAACGGACCCGAAGTATTTTGTGTAGACAACTG